TACGTCGTAACGATGATAAATTATTTCCGTTTTGTAATTTATAAATTCTGATATATGCAAATATATCCGGATAAATTTGTAATATATCCGGATAAATTTGCAAAAATATATTTGGATATATTCGACCACCCATTCATTAATTCGCATATTCCAAATATATCCACATATATCTGCATATTATAAAATTTATCTGGATATATTTGCTCTCAAAAATTTCCTGATGCAGATTGCGATCAGTGATTTCAGGATTGTTGTTTGTGTTGGGCTTTTTGCTCGATTCTTAATAGGTTTTCTTGTTCCTGTTGTTGAGCTTCAACAAATTATCTTAGTTCTCAGGTGTTGGGTCTTCCTCTGGTTGTGGTGTGAAAATGGATTCAGTAGATTCTTCTTGAGACAGTAATTGCGATACTGTGGGGGTTGTTGAAAATAAGATATATTAGGATATATAAGTGATGTTAAGCTTATAGATCAGAAATGTCAATTTATCTACAATAAATCATGTCATATCTCCGATAACTGTTAAATAATAATTTATTTTCAATAAAATAAACTCACACTTATATATTAAAATATGAAATAATTATAAGTTTTAAATTTATTTTCAATAGAATAAACTCGCATATATATATTAAAAGTGTGAAATAATTATGAGCTTTAAATTTATTTTCAATAAAATAAACTCACACACACATATTAAAATGTGAAATATCATGAGCTTTAAATTTATTTTCAATAAAATAAATTCATGTACACATATTAAAGTGTGAAATAATCATAAGCTTTAAATTTATTTTTAATAAAATAAACTCACGCACATATATTAAAGTGTAAAATAATCATGAACTTTAAATTTATTTTCAATAAAATTAACTCGCACGTATATATTAAAGTGTGAAATAATCATGAGCTTTAAATTTATTTACGAAAACTATATAAATTATTTGTAAAAAATAGAAAATTATAAAATAAGATTACAACTATAACAAAAAGAATGACAAGAATAACAAAAATAAAAAATTTCGGAGATTTTTGTCTCCTAAAATTTCCTGATATATGTAAAATAAATTTTTTACTTTGAAAATATTTGAAAACTTGTGAAAGATTTTCAGAAATTTACTATTTTAAAAAATTTCCAGAGATTTTTGCTTCCTAAAGTTTTCTGATGAAATATTAATATTAAAAAATAATTTAATTATTATTTTAAAGTTTAAAAAGTTTAAAATTTATATTTAACAATAATTATTTAATAAAATTTATAATTACACTATTATTTAGTCTTTATATTAGAATTTAACCTTTGTACTAGAATTTAGTTATTGCATCAGATTGTACTAGAGCTAATTTCTAAGCTCAATTGATTAAATTAAATTTGATTAAATTTTTAATTCAATTTATATTATATTTACTATCTCTAATATAGATATTATTCTATTATTACCAATAGATTTTCAACTCACATGCTTAAATACATGGGCTAGAGATTTTCAAGGGTAATATATTTATCATCATGTGTTATACCTTTCAAATATTGATTTTTATCTGATCTTTGTTACATAATATATGTGACATGATTTTGCATGTAATGAATTTCTAATCACCTGTTAAATTATGGACCAATAAAATTCTAAACTTCATGGGGTGAAAAATCTATTGGTGATACTGGGATAGCTGACATATTGAGAAGCAGTCACGTGAACGGTAATTTCTTTACAGGTTTTGCGGATCTTTATTTATTGAAAAACGAAAAAGTATCGGATTTGAGTAGTAGACAGTTGTCTGATCGCACATAGTAATAGTAAATAATTTAAACAAAAGTATCTTGAATTGAGAAACTTTAACACTATTGGTACTGAACATTCCTCTGATGAACTCGGCAAAGTTTCGCGTCAAAAGAAAGTGTTTTCAAATATATCATTTATCTACCCGCTCATATGTCACTCGAAATTATCTTTCGGAAAAAGTGATACTCCGTTCAACTCGAATTGGTATTTAAGTCCCGAACATTGCAAGTAAGGTAAGGTAAATTCGTTTATTATTATATTAAAGTGGGATGGTTGAAATTCATGATCACCAAAAAAAAAAGAAAATACCCAATGTCATTTTATATGAGAACATATGAATTCGCGCAAATGAATAATAAATTTATCGGATCCCATGTAAGTAATCATGTGTATAAAATCGAAATTATATTGGAATAAACATGTAATAATGGTTCACAACGGGTTGGTTTGTTTGCGCGAATAATATTGTTAAGGTGAAAAGTATTCGATCAAGATAATTAATACGATTAATATGATCGAAGAATAACATGAAAAGGTATTTAAATAATTTAAAATAATAATTAATTAATAGCATTAATCTGAAAATTAATATAAATATTATATTAATGTTCTTATTATATTCTTATTATTAATTTAATAATTTAAAAACGTTTGTTACAATAAATAAACAACAAAATGCAACAACAAAAAAAATATACTAAATAAGAAAAAGATGATTATGATAAAAGAAAAGAAAAGAAAAAAAAGAAAGAAAGAAAGAAGAAAGGAAGAAAGGAAAGAACGAAAGAGAAAGACAGATACCTCAATTACGTACATTCAGGATTATAAATGAGATGAAAATTGTAAAATAAATGAATTAATGAATGAATGAATGAATTGAGAATTTTTCTTATACGATTACTACTATTATTAATCAAGTAAGAAATAATAAAAATATATATTTTTATAACGAACAAAAAAAAAATAATTATTGGAATTTTACTAGTTGTTGAATGTGAATGAAAAAAAAAAAAACTAGTCATCATCCAAATAATATATATATATATATATATATATATATATATTAAACTAGATTATAATAAAAAATACATGAAAAGAAGAATATCATACAAATTCACCTTTATTTTCCAAAATCACCTAATTAGGTATCTAAATCGTGATATAATTTATTCTAATTTGATATACAAAAATATAAAATGTCAGAATTTATTTTATTCACCAAAATAAAATAAAAAAATAAAATAATAAAATAAAATGAAATGAAACAAAACAAATTGAATAATTAACACACACACACTAACCTAATTTACAACAACGGGTGTAAATTGTTTCTTGAAAAAAAAAAAAATAATAATAATAAAATTTCTTAACTACAACAACCGACACTTGTAGCTTTGGGTTTGTTTTCCAATTCAAGTCTCTTATTTTGAGTATTTTGTTGTTCTTGTGCATGTGTATCAATTAATCTCTTCTTAATGTCCCTGTATATATTTGTATAATTCATTATGTGTTAAAATAGTAGTAATTTGAAATAAATAAATAAATATATGTGTATGTATTATATAACAATACAAACCTTGCCAAAGTAAAGAAGGCTTCTTCAACATTAATGTTGGCTTTCGCACTAGTTTCCAAAAATTTAATTCCAAATTCATCAGCAAGTGCTTGACCTTGCTCTTTAGTGATTGCCTAAAGAAATTATTAAATTATTATTAAATTATTATTAGAATTAAAAAAAAAAATTAAAAATAAATTATGAAAAAAATAATAATAATAAGGATTTATTTATTTACCTTCTTTTCAATCCAATCACATTTGTTACCAATAAGAATTTTGTTAACTCCTTCAGTGGCATGTTGTTCTATATTAGAGAACCAATTTCTTATATCTTTTTATCATTTTTTTTTTTTTAAAAAAAAAAAATTAAAGAAAAATATATTGGAAAAATCAAAAACATATGAATCGGAGGTTTTGGTGTGTGTAATCAAAAAAAAAGGATACTGTTGAAAGAACGTTCATCAGTTACATCATATACTAAAAGTATACCCATTGCACCTCGATAATAAGCTGTTATAAAGAAATGTGATTAAAGTGAGTGATTTAAAGTGGTTAAAGTAGAATTAAATTATTAATAATAAAAAAAAAAAAAAACCAATATGATAATAGTTTACCAGTGGTAATAGTACGGAAACGTTCTTGACCAGCAGTATCCCAAATTTGAAGTTTGATTCGTTTACCATCTAATTCGATGGTTCTGATCTTAAAGTCAATACCAATCGTGGTAATAAAAGAGGGAGTGAAAGAATCATCAGAAAAACGAAGCAATAAGCAGCTTTTCCCAACACCTTTCGTTTTTAAATAAAATAAAATAAAATGGGTAAAATTTTAAATAAATATATATATATTTTAAAATAATAATAATAATAATAAAAAGGAAATAAATAGTTAGTATTTTATTATATTATCTAAATTTCGATTTTTTCTTTTGTTACGATTAATAACAATAATAACTTGGGAACAGGAATGATAAAGACTTGAAAGCAATAGATGAAGAATAAAAAACCCCTAAATTTAAAATATAATAACATCTAAACATAGTATAATAGTATCACTTTTTTTACCTGAATCCCCAATCAATAAAAGTTTTATGAGATAATCATATGCGGCAGTTTTACTTTGAGCCATTATTTATTATTTATTATTATTATTATTATTATGATTATGAAAAAAAGAGATTTTTTGATTTTTAAAATTTTTTTATTGAATTATTTTGAATTTTTTTTTTTTTTAAAAAAAAAAAAAAACAGATATATGTAATGTCGCCTAAGACGCCTAAAATTGGTGGCTCTGTGTGTCGAATACGAAAAAAGTAATTAAAAATTCAAACCGCCACGTGATACCAAAGTTTATAAAAGTGGTAAGTATAATAAATAAAGTATTTCCAAAAAAAAACTCTATTAAATTTCCTTAGCGTTTCACAGCATATTTTTTATTCTCTCATGTAACTTATGAACTTATGATTTACAATTATATATAAATTATATATACAAGATAGTGATTAAAGTATTATAAAATTTTATTTATCTTTGATCCTTCAAAGCGAAGGGAGTAATACTTCATCTTTTTTGGTTAGAGAATTTAAGTAGATCGATGAAAAGATAATCCACACTAAAAAATATTTATCTAACTTTTTTTTTTTTGTGTAAGCCTTATTTAATAAAATATCCTACTAGCATTTTCTCAGATATTGTTATCTGTCAAAAATAGGGATGGATTTATTAATCACGAAATCATCAATTACGTACTCATTTTGTATTTGTTAATTAATAATTATATAAAGTAAAATATGGCAGATCACAAGTTATTATTATTTATGACAACACCTTATTACTCACTTAAATTAAAGATTATTATTTTTATAAAAAAGAATAAATTGAAATTGGCCAAAATTATCCATAAAAGCAATAATAAAAAAAAAAAAATTAATCTTTAGTATTGCCAAAAAAAGTTTTTGCACTGATAGCAATGTTAACAATATATCATCTTCCTTAAATATCTAATTAGCAATACAATGTATAAGATTTTACTTTTTAATTAATATTGTTTTCCACTAATAAATTAATAATTGAAAAAATTTACTTAAGGAGTTCTTCGACTTCGGATGAATATACATATGTTCAAACATTATATCATAGTTTTTGATGACATGTTTGCTAATTCAACAAGTTTACTCATTCAAGAATAAATGAGGATGATTGCATCATCACCATATAAAAGTCCCAAAAAAATCATATCCAGTTAACAAAATACAAATATGTTTGTTTCCGCGTTACACTTCTTTTTCCAAGGTGAAAGTTGTCCCAATTTGACAAAAATCAATAGGAGAAATTAAATGCATTAGGAACGGAATTTGCGTAATATCTTAAAAAAGTGATGAATAAAGATTTATTATGTATTGAAAAGATGGATTATCAAATTGTAGTAGTCGCACAAACATAGATTTCCCCATCTCATTTAATTATATCACAATTCATGACTGGGTGATTAATGTGATATCATAGTGTGTATAGCAAACTTGATGTTGGCTTGTAGTTCGATAATTATTATATCCTTTTAATCAGTTCAACTCTTTTTTTTTTTTTGTGTCTAGAATTATTCTCAAACCATAAATTTCTACCGAGCAATATTGTTTTACTGGAAATATAAATAAAGTGATATTTGAATAAATTAAAAGTTTTAAAATTATAATAATGGAAGACCTTTCAGCTGAACGATCAATCAAGGTTAAATTTCGACCTTCAGCTGGTGACGACTTCGAATATTGTTTTGATCCTGGGCAGTTGACGGTACAACAATTAAAAGAGAAACTTGTTTCACATACCACCATACCAGCTGATAGTATGCGTTTGGTATATTCTGGAAGAGTTTTAAAGGATGAGGACATGGTTGAGATATATGGTAAGTTCTTTTTATAATATGATCTGATAATATGTTTTAGAATTATTATTAATTTATAAATGATAATTAATTATGTAATCATATTTTATATATATATATATATATATGTATATTTTTGATATTTCGGAATTATATTATTTATTAATATAAATTATATTTATAAATTAATTTCAATATATCAAATATATCAAATATATCAAATATATCAAATATATATATACATATATATATATATATATTTTTCTGAATATAAAAATAAAAAAACAATAAAAATAATATAAAAATTTCAGGAGTCAAAGAAGGTCATACGATACATGTAGTTCGAGGGGCAGCAAATCGTGCATCAGAGCAAGCGGCACAACCAGTAACTCCACGAAATCCCAATTCAAATCCATCATCAAATACTTTTACAATTAATCCTCTTGGATTAGGAGCTAATTTGGATCAAGATTTTATGAGAAGTATGATGAATTCACCAATGTTTCGGGTAAGTATATGCTAATTTTAATAATTTTGATTAATTAACTAAGAGAGAGATATATATTTCTACCGCAGTAAAAAGTTGATGTGTTTACTGCGGTTAAACCTTTGACAACTGATAAAGTAATTTATTACTTTAATTATTTATATTAAATTTTATTTAATTATTTAATAATTATATTTTATTTTATTTATTATTAATTAATTAATTAATTATTAAATTATATATTTATTATTTTATTTATTATGATCATTATTAATTATTAATTATTAATTAATTATTATAATTATTATTATATAATTAGCAACTTTTATCTAATCCAGAAATTGTGAGGTCAATGGTTATGCAAAATCCAACTATGAGACAAATGATTGAACGAAATCCCGAAATTGGTCATATAATTGTAAGTGTTTTAAATATAGTTTAATATAATTATTTAATATTATAATTTAATAACATTCAATAATATTTAACATAATTCAATATACATTTAATATATAATTTAACATTTAATTTATATAATTAATTCATATAATTAATTTATATAATAATTAATTTATATAATAATTAATTTATATAATAATTAATTTAACATTTAATTTATATAATTAATTTTTAGAATGATCCATCTTTCATTCGCCAGGTTTTTAAAATTTCTTATTTTATGCATCAGTATCATCTTTTATATATCTTTTATGATATCTTTTTTGTAATTCCCAAAAGATTTATTTTTTATATTGTTGTTATAAACAACAGACTATGGATATGGCCCGTAATCCGGAATTAATGAGAGAAATGATGCGTAATAATGGTAAATAAATAATCTAAAATTAGATAATATATATATATATATATATATATATATATATATATATTTAATTTGATATTAGATAATATTTTATATTTTTTAATTTATTAATATATTATTTTTCAATAGATCGAGCTTTGGCAAATTTAGAAACTATACCTGGAGGGTTTAATCATCTGCGGCGAATGTATCATACATTACAAGAACCATTGGAATCAGCTGGTCGACACGTATGTTTCGTGTTTAAATTTTATTTATAAAATTATTTAAATATTATAATAATAATATTGAATTAATTTTTTTATTTAATGTAATGTATATAGAATGATCAATCATCCGAAGCAGCTAATCAACGTTTAGCTCAACTTTTAAATGTTGAAAGACCACCACGTAAATTTTAAATTTAAACATCACAACATCACGAAAAAATTAATTAATAGAATGATTACATTTATAGAAGGACGTATAAACAATACACCATTACCAAATCCCTGGGCACCACGTAACAATAATAATAATAATAATAATAACAATATAACAAATTCTACAATGAATAATTCCCCTAATCCATTTGGAGGTAAACTTTTAATTTTTTGTTTAAAATATTTTATACATTTCACTTGATAATTTTATTATTATTTTTTTTTTTTAAATATATAAAAATTTTTAAGCACCTACAGGAATATCACCTTTTGCTTTCTTGGGTTTTCCACCAGCTCAACTAGTATGAAAAATATTTTTATTTTTTTTACCTTTTCTTAAATTTAGAATTATATAAATCTTTTATATATCTATATATTTTATGAATTTTTTAGACATCTAGAAATCCCCAATCAATTTCAATCACTCAATCTACGAATAATAATTCAACAACAAATGAAACATCTACAACCACCACCACCACACCATTACCACATTTAAATAATAACAATAATAATAATGATGATAATGATAGTAATAATAATAATAACAATAATAATAATAGTAATAATAATAATAATAATAATAATAGTAATAATAATAATAATAATAATAATAATAGGCCAACTACAAATTTTCCTAATATTGCATTCCCCAATCAATCACAACCAAATTTACCAATGCCCAATGATCCAGAATATATTCGAAGATTTCAACAATTGATGCAACGTTATATGACTTCACCACAATTTGTAGCTTCCCGTCAACAAATGGCTCAATCATATTATCCAACTTCTCTTTTCGGATCTCCAAATTCATTCTATACAAATATGCAACCTCCACTCAGGTACTTTTTCATTCATTAATTATTTAAAAATTATTGTTTTTTTTTTTAAAAAAAAAATATATTTATGTATATTTATTTAATTAAAATATTGTTATTATTATTATTATTATTATTATTATTATTATTATTATTTATTAATTTTCTAGCACAAGTCAAACATCACCGACATCACCGACATCACCAACATCACAAACACCACAATCCGAACCTCCTGAAACAAGGTTTAGGGTACAACTTCAAACATTAGAAGAAATGGGATTTGTAGATCAGGCCGCAAACATTAGAGCTTTACTTGCTTCAGGTGGAGACGTTAATTCGGCGATAGAAATTTTATTAAGTGGGGGGATTTAAGTGGTTTGTGTGTGTTTTTTTTTATAAAGTGTTTTTAAAAATGGTCTAAGAAATGTTTTAAAAATCGGTTTAAAATCGGTTTAAAATCGGTTTAAAAAAACGTTTTTAAAACCGTTTTAAAATCATTTTAAAAGTGTGGTGGTGATTGGTAGTGGTGATTGGTAGTGGTGGTGTTGATGGTGATGGTGATGAAGAATAATAATAATTCATTCATTATGAAAAAAAAAAATTAAATGTATTTGTGTTATTGGTGTTTGACTATTAACTAATGTTGAAACTATTAATATGTTGCTTCCATCATTATCATTATCTTTTTTTTTTTTTTTAATTTCATTCATTTTGTAATTATAGTATTTTATACACAGAGAAAAATATACTTATTACTGTCAAGTCATTGTAGGCTGTAGCAAGACAGGATTATTATTATTATTATTATTATTATTATTATTATTTTTATTGTTATCATCATCACTTTTATTATTATTATTATTATTTTTATTATTATTAGAACATTAAGATATCATGACTTATTATTATTATTATTATTATTATTATTTTATTATTTGAAACGTTGGCATCTTTGTTTATTTTTTTAGCAAATTTAATTTGGAATTTGTTTTTTTTTTATTTTTTATTTTTTTTGTGGGAAAAAGGAAAAAGAAAAAAGAAAGGAAAGAGAGAAAGAGAGAAAGATAGGGAAACATATTATAAAATTTTGGGCATTCCGGCATAATGAACCAAAATCAAACAGAGGAAGAAATAAGAAATCATTATACAATATATACAATATATATACAATATATACATATAAATCTATTTAAAAAAAAAAATCAGGACAAAAAAAAAAAAAACTTAGAAAATTTACATATAATATCTATTTATTTATTGGACGATCAAACTTTATTTTAATATATAATTACATAAATTTAATTTGATTTATTAAATTTATATAAAAAAAAAAATATGTATTTAAAATATTCGAAAATTTTAGAAGTAACAAGTACACGTCCTTTTCTTTTTTTTCTATCAAATATCAATATATCAATATAGACAAATTAATAATGATATATCAATACTTCTTCAATAACTGTTGCGAATACTTAACTTCTTGCTTGTCACTGTCACAACTGAAGAATGAGAAAAAAAATAATTGCCTTTTTTTTCAATAAAAATATATAAATATGTATACCCATCAAACGAATCAAACGAAGAAAAAATGAAAATCTAAGAAAGGTTTGAAATGCTTTAAATAATGGAGTCGGTATAGCCAAAAGATTGCTGTCACTTGACATTTTTATATTTGGTATTATTTTTTTTTTAAATCTCGAATTGTATACACTGTATAATATATACCGAATTTATTATCACGTTTGTCCATTGTATTTTCGAAATAATCACTTTTTTATTCTACACGATGTATCGAATGATCATATGTAAATTACCGGAATTCTTATAGACTTGATATCGATAATACAGTCCCTTACAAAAAAAAAATGGAATTTTTAAATTTCACAAAAAATTTGCCAAGTAAAATTCCTTTTTTTGACTTCGCTTATAATTTATACAAAGGCATTTCTAATAACGATAGAAAGTCCCAATTCTGAGCTACAAGATAATATGTGTTTTATCTCTGTATCATTGATATCTGTCAATATATTCCAGTCCAAGTCGTTGAACCGTGTAAAAATTCTGTAGAAATGTAAGAATTCCAGGAATTTAAACCTTATAAAATTCCCTGAACAATCCAATTTTATTATCTTCATTTAACTACAACAAAATTTTTTATAACTGTGATAAAAATCCCTAATACGTTCTCACATACATGTGTTTGATTTAACTTTGACTTTTGTGCGTGTATAAATATACGCTTTATTTTTTAAAATGAATAATACTAAATAATTAATTAATTAAAAAAAATAAATACAAAGAATAAATGAATTTATTATACAAATCTTCGTCTAGATCTTTGATTCTTTCTTCTAGTAGCATTAATATCATTCTTCTTAAGATATTGAGTTTCATCAAATAATTCTAATTTCTTTAATTTTAATCGTTTTAATTCTTTCTCAATTCTTTGTTTTATTTTCTTTTCGGCTTTAATCTTTTCTATTTTTTCAGTAAACTTTTGTTTTTGTTTTTCTGCTCTCTTGGGATCAGGAACCCATTTTGATTTTAATATACGACGAACTGCTTCTGGTGATATTTTAAATTGTTGAGCTAATGCTGTTGGAGTATATTCTTCAGGTGACTAAAGAAGAAAAAAATAAAAAAATTTAAAAATTAAATAAATAATTGTATTAAGCAATTTTGATAACATAATAATAATAATAATAATAATAATAAAATGAAGTGTACCTGATTATGCAAAGCTCTAAGTTGATCCATATATTCTCTCGATAATTTTTTCGTAGGTTTCCATTGTTTAAATTCAGTTCTTTCCATTATGGCAAATTTATGTTTTAACCAACCAGGTAAACGTTCTTTTTCTCTCCAATTTGCATCATATTTCTTATTAGGTGAGAGATTTTCTAAATTTTCCAATACTTTTTTATGATCAATAGTTTTTACTCTATTATCAAATAATGATTTTTTATTATATTCTCGAGGTAATTTTCGTTTGGTTATTAAATGTAATAAGAAAGCTCTTTTACTTAATGTGGAAGATCGGGATAACATTAATTGATTTAGAGTTTGTTCTTTATATTTATTAATTTTTTTTATCTTTTGATTATTTTCTGGTAAGTTGTTGTTCTCTTCAGAGGAAGATAAGTCTGAAGGTAACAGTGAATGTTCATTGTTATTATTATAACTCATGTAATTTCTATCATTCCTACCTATCCTTTCATCCATACTCTGCTCTATTCTTTCGCTTCTCTTACTTCTCTCATTCCTTCCTATCCTCTCACTTCTCTCATTCCTTCCTATCCTCTCACTTCTCTCATTCCTTCCTATCCTCTCACTTCTTTCACTCCTTCCTATCCTCTCACTTCTTTCACTTCTCTCACTCATTTCACTACTTCTCTCTCTCATTTCACTACTTCTCTCACTTTTCACTACTACTCCTCTCTCACCATTTTGATAAATTACATTCTCTTTTCTCTCCCCTTTGGTATTAAATCTTTCATACTTTTGATGATTATTATAATTATTATTATAATTATTATTATAATTGTTATTATAATTATTATTATAATTGTTATTATAATTGTTATTGTAATTGTTATTATAATTATTATTATTAGAATTATTAGAATTTCCATATAATTGTTTATTAAGACTTCCATCTAATAAATTGTCGAGAGTAATCTTTACATCTTTGATTTCATTATCAAAATTTTGCATATTACTACTATTACTACCACCAACAACTCTTCCACTTCTACTATCACTTATACTAATATCATTTCTTACATCTTGATTATTATAACTTTTATCTCTTCTATAATTTATAGAAGCAGTACTAACAACATTATTATTATTACCACTACTATCATCAATAACAATATTATTATTATTATTATCTTCGTCATTTTTCAATTTTGATCTTAATCTTGCAGAAAAACTAGATTTATTATTCTTCTCTCTTTTATTTTGTTGTTGTTGTTGTTTACTTCTAACTTTAGATAATTTTTTTTCCAATCTAATTCTTTTTTGTCTTATTCTTTCAGCTGCATTCTTCACATTAGTTGGCCCAAGAAATTTTTTAAATAATTCATTGTTTAAGGTTAAATCACTTACTGTAGTCCTACTACTACTACGACTACTGCTACCACTATTATTATTGTTATAATTTGATCTACCTACATAATTACGACAAGGTATTATATTCCAGAAAGAAGAAATGTTATTATTAATAATATTAATATTAATATTAATATTAATATTATTGATGTTATTGTTTTTGAATGAAGAAATGATATTATTGTTAATGTTAAAATTAGTGTTATAATTGATACAATTGTGAATATTCATATTTTTATTGTTATAATTGATATTACTATTACTATTATTATTATTATTATTATGGTGCAAACAAGTAATTCTTAATAAACGATGATAATTATGATGATGATGGTGAAAATTGATGGAATTAAAAGAATTAAAAAATCGTAAAGAAGGCATTTTTATATATATATATATATATAAAACAGCTAAATAGTAAAGTATTTACAGTATATTATTTTTTAACACATATCCGCCAATTGCGAAAATTTAAAACATAAATATATTTAAAATTTTTGTACTGAGTATTTGAGTATTTTTATTTAGGAGGTCAGAAAGTAGTTGTCTTAAATAAAATGTTAAAGATTTTTATATATTTTCGAAAAAAATTAATCGAATTATAATTGGCTAAAGGGAGCATCACCTGATCGGAAATAGTTAGATAATCTAATATTTGTCACGTTGATGAACATCTATAAATTATCACAAAATTTAAAATTTCTGGCTGTTAACAATAGCCATTGGGCAAATTTATCTAATATGGCCAGAAATAACTTTGGAAAACAATAGAAAGATAATTTAGCTTCAATTATAAAAGCTAGAGACAAGATCTTTCAAATGGTGTTAGAAACATCTTAGTAGAAATTGTTACAAAAATTTGATTCAAATTAATATAATCAAGAAAATGCAATTGTCTAATAGTTATAATTCATCTACATCGAAAGTGTGTCAAAGATTATGATCATTTCACAATGTAAAAAAGTAATAAAATATAGTATCCATTTTGCCTTGAAAAATTTATTAGACTCACCAATATTTGATATTCAATAGCCAACCCATTACCATTATCAAGATCGTTACAAAATATTAATAGCTGAAAAATCTTTTTTTATTTTCGATAAAAATTAATAAAAAAATCATATAATAGTAGCAGAACAAGTTATAATATAATGTAAAAAAAAAAATGAAATTATCTCATAACTTCGACCTATGAACTTTAGAATGGAATCACGTTTTTATTATTACATGAAGAATCTAAAATTCGTCAGTTCATATAATATATTTTATAAATATTTATAATCATTTTGACTTAATTTTATTAAATAAGCAGTTTTCGCAAGAAATAAAAAATGTTAGGTGTTATTTTTATCCAAGGTTGCTTCTAAAATTAAGAGCGGTTAACTAGTAAAAGTTTTCCGTTTCTTGTTCCATTTGAATTATTAACTTAATTAATTCAATTTGCGCTTGACAAAGTCTACTAACTTCTTTGCCAGTCAAATTTTCATTTAGTTTCTGTTTCGCTTTTTCCAGTTGCCGTTCGCTGAGTGAACAAATTGAAGACGGGGCATCTTCTAAACGGACAAGCTGTTCCTGAGAATTTAGAAGAGTATCAAGAAAAGCTCTTTGACTATCAGACTCTAATTTATTTTCCATAGCAGTTTTTAACCTTGTTAACATATTTTTTTTTAATTGAATTTTTTCTTCCAAGGTAGCTTCTTTAATTTGTATCTCTTCTAACTGCTCTCGAAGAAATTCATTCTCCTCTTCAAGCTTTATAACTTTTCGTCCTAGCCTCTCAATTTCGTGGCTATCGAGACGAGATTTTTCTTGGAAAGTAAATAAATTTTCTTGAAGTTCCCCTTTTTCTTTTCTCAGTTTTTTCAGTTTTTCTATTAACTCTGTTTCAGCCCAAACTTGCCCTCTCAGTTGAGCAATTCTTTGTTCCCTGCCTTTTATTTGGATTCGTAACCATGTGATATGTTGTTCGCGTTGTTTTTTCTTATCTAAATATATTCTTCTCTCGAAATAATTATATCGCCAATCCAATTCAACAAGCTCACTTTGATCTTCCTGTAAATTGTGTTTAAAAGTATCCAATTGAGCTTTTAAAAAATCTTTGATTTCTTCTTTGATGCCTTGAACAATTTTTCCTCGCTTGTAGTCACTTATTTCTTTTTGCAGGTTTTTATAATGTTCAGGCTCATCAAATGTTTCCGTGGAAGGAATATTCTCTTTTGCCTTGATTTCCTCACGAAGAGGATATTCATAGCCGTAGTAAGGTAATTCTATTGCTGCCATTTTTTATTCAATATATATATATATTTTTAGAATCACATGATGTGATTTTCAGGAAATATCACGATAACACAAAATAATTCGATGTATGAATTATTTTTTTATGATTATGAAATTTTTTCAAACAATAACGGTTTTTATTTAGAGATTTCACTGTGAATTTTCAAGACTTTGGGCCAAAATAAAGTGCCTTTACGTGACTAGGAAATATTAAGTGAGAATATTGAGTGAGAATATTTAATTTTCCTTAAAATAAGACTTATACACAGATCATATGATTAGGGTCCTAACCAGTGTCTATTTTGAGCTACAGATTATAATCACGTGGGGTGAAATTTTTTATGGAACGATACTTAAATTGATCTTTTTTAATTATTTGGTCTTATATAAGTTTTTTTTTACAATATGGATAACATGGAAGTTGATGATTCAGCAAAAGAACAAGAGACTGCTTTTTCTCTTGACAGTATCCTTTATTATCCGAATATATTAAATGTGCTATTATTTTCGAAAAGTTTTAGGATTCCTTAGCAAAAAATTACTTATTATAGTTTTGTCGTTAATTAACGAAGCACGTAACACGTATGGACTTCGACACCAAGATTACAATCGATACAGGTGAACATTTATGATGTTCAGACCGTTGTTTATGCAATATATATAATAAAATTTTTGATAAATTTATGATAAATTTATAGACAATATTGTATGAAAAAAATTTATCGACTTCGCGTTTCTTTAAATTTCACTCATTCAAAGGGACGGTTTACGAATTTTAAAGAAATAACCGTTGATATTTTAAATGACATAAGGTAATCTTATTTATTTTTTAAAAAAAAAAATTATATCTATTTAAAATCATCAAAAATTGATAATAATTAAGATTTATGTAACAGATATTTGCATATCGCACTATTTGATGCAGAAAGAGCGTGGAGTTATGCAATGGAACTTAAAAGAGAATCTTTGTCAACTGGGGATACTCGTAAAAAACATCATTTAATTAATAGATTAAAAAAGGCAGACAAATTAAGTACTCAATTAGAAAAATTATGTTCACGAGAAGCTGGAAAAGTAGATACTAGAACAATTCTAGATGCTCAGGTTATTATTATTATTATTTTATCTTTTCTAAAATTTATTTAGTTTTTATTCGAAAGTCATTTATACCAACAGTTAAAAATTTTTTTTTTTTAATCAAAAGGCATATTCAGCTTTAATGTCTGGTTATTTATTATTCGAAAAACAATCTTTTCAAGCAGCATTAGATAAATTTGCTGCAGCAAGGTAATATAATATTTTTATTTTATCTTATTTTTTATTTTATTTTTTATTTTTATTTTTTATTTTTACTTAATATATTTATTTAATTATCAGAACGATATATGAAAAATTGTCTTCTGCGGGAACACCTCATCAAGAAACACTTTGTCAATCGGCAATTGATGATATAGATCCTAATATTCGTTATTGTGCATATAAATTACGTATAGGTACAGATAGTGTTTCAGATGTGGAAGATCTTGTTAAAACGACTATTAAGAAAAATAAAGGTGTTGGTTTAGATTTATTAGAAGCAGAAGTTGAGGTAAAATTTTATTCCTTACACACACTCACTCACAAATATACATATACATTTTATAAGGAATATTTAATGAATGTTTATAATTTATAATTTAGTCTGTCCTCGCACAAAATCGTCAAGTAAAAGCTGCTTCAATAACATCAATTTCATGGCGTGGTCATATTATCCCACTTAAAAATGCGGATTTGGCAATTTGCATTTTGAAAACTCGTGAAGCTTCCACGAAATTGGAAGAAGCTTTAAATACTAATGCAGAAGAGGCAACTAAGATGGAAATGTTTGATTCACTCCTTGAGGCATATGGAGATGCAGAAAGGTTCGCCAAAAATGCCTTAAAGGAAGATGCGGTAAAAGATTATTCTTTTATGCCGTCTTCCTTTCTCACCATTTTGTATCTCCCATTTAATTATATTATATTTATTATATCTATATATACATATATATATAGACAGCAACTGCAAAAGTTAAATCTTCCAAGTCGGAACAAATCTCGGCGGACCTCAATTATGTTTATAATTATGTATCATATAATTATTTATGTCGTAGAATTCAACGTAATCTAATGCTCGTTGATTCTCTTAAGAAACAATTAGAGGCCCAGAAATCTTCAGATGATGTCGGATTTATTAGTGGAAAATATCAAGATATTGTAAAATTATATGATAATGTGTTACAGGTAATGATCTCTCTCGTTCTCTCTATTCTCTCATCTCTCTCATTTATATCCACAAAAAAAAAGTTTACCTCTAAACTTGTATCAATATTATTAATATTAGAGTTTGAATGAAATTAGTGAACTTTCCGAAGTTCAGAATAACTTACCTTTATCACAAGAAGTTGAGGCAAAGATTTGGTTTTTTAAAGCTTGGCGGTAAGATAAATTAAATAACAATACATTATATTTTCACATTATATATATATATACATATTATATATACATATTATATTTATATATTCTATTTAAACAAAACAACATTGACAAATAAAAAATGATTATTTTTGATATCCAGGACTTTATACGTAGCATCCGCTTATGCAATTTTAAATAAAGAATTAGAAGCTATTCTTTTATATGAACGTGCTAATGAATATAATCTTCAAGCTAAAACTTCACTTTCCAATTTAACACCAGACAAAGAAGATATATTAATTATTTCAAAGGAAAATGTTGATAATTTGGAATCATTATTAAGAAGTCATAAAGTTAAAGCTCATGCAGCATTAAATTTTTATCATAGTGGAGATGATTCTGATATAACAGAGAAAATGAATGAATTGGGAATTGACGAAGAAAAATCAAAAGCGAGAAATAAAAAGGATGAGGTAAAGAAAATTTTATTAATACCTTTTAATTACTTATGATTTATTATTATTATTTATTGTTATTATTTATTTATGATTATTATTTATTTATGATTATTTATTGACCAAAATTATTAACTATCAAAAATACTAATTAATATTATTAATATAAATAGATGCCTTTAATCGAACATCTTAATCAATATCCATTAAATTTATCAATTAATAATGTTAATTTAATTAATTTCCCTCCGGAATTTACTGCTATTCCAGCAAAACCATTATTCTTTGATATAGCTTCAAATTATATTAATTATCCTTCTAATTTGTCTCAACGTGCAGGTCATAAACAAGGCATTCTTGGATTTTTTGGTGGTTTTTGGGGTACAAAAAAATAATTACTTATTTAAATAATAATATAAATTATTTATTTGTTATTTATAAGAGGTGCAATAAAGATTCCGATCATTATTTTTTTTTTAATATTTTTATCAAAATTAAAATCAACTAAATATTATTATTTTGGTTTCTCTAATATACTTTTTATGAAATGATAATTTTTTTTTAATATAATGCAAAAAAAAAAAAAAAAAAGAGGTTCGAGAAGAAACAATTCATTTTAGGAAAATTATCTGTAACTAATTATTCAACGTTAATGTTATAAGTATCCTCGATAAAAAAATTTATAATACTTGTAATACTTGTTATAATTCTTTTTTCTTTAAATTTATTTATTACAATACTCAAATTATTATTACCTTTTCCAATTACAAGCACTATTATTATATTTTTATACATATTGCGTACATTTTTTATTATATATTGTGGATATTATTAGATATTATTTGATATTATTGGATATTATACATATATATTTGTATCTGTAATCATAATAAATCCGCCTTCATTTGCATCTGGAAATATTTAACTGTTTCACATATACCTTGTTTAACTGGCCATCGAGGTTTCCATCCAAGAATTTGTTCTGCTCTCGTAATATCAGGTTTTCGTTTTCTAGGATCATCAGTTGGTGCAGGTAAAGTTTTAATCTTGCATGAACAATTGACTTCATTACGAATCAATTCAGCAAATTCTCGTATCGTATATTCATCTGGATTTCCTAAATTAATTGGTTCCGTATAATCTTTATTCATTAATAAAATTAAACCATCTACTAAATCGTGAACATATTGAAATGAACGTGTTTGATATCCATCCCCATAAATTGTGAGATCTTCTCCTTTCAATGCTTGCATAATAAAATTGCTTACTACTCGACCATCATTTTCGTTCATACGAGGACCAAATGTGTTAAAGATACGAGCAACCCTAACATCAACATCATCTTGATGCATATACGCATAAGTTAATGTTTCTGCTACTCGTTTTCCTTCGTCGTAACATGCTCTTGGTCCAATAGGATTTACGTTGCCCCAATATGTTTCTGCTTGAGGATGTTCTTCTGGGTCACCGTAGACCTCTGCCGGCGTAAATATTTTTAAAATATAAATACGAATAATTTGTATTCATTTTTTTTTTTGCTAATTCTGAAGTTTTAATAATAATAATAATAATATATCTATCTATATATTTTATTCCTGTACTATATGTAAATTCAACCATCCTCCTACCTGATCAGCTAAATTGTGTGCTAAAAATGATACAAAAATGGTACATAAATAGCTCAAAATAGCTAAACAGGAATGAGGTGGATAGAATTTGATTTCTTATTTATCTAATTCATTTATTTCTAAATTCTTATTTTGTGTGAATAAATCAAAAGAACAAATAATCAAAATAAATAATAATAAATAATAATACATGCCTGAAGTAGAAGTTAACAAAAAACGAGCCTTGACGCGTTTAGCCAAACCAAGCATATTAATTGTTCCCATTACACTAGTTTTAACAGTTTTAATAGGATTATATTGATAATGAGGTGGTGAAGCGGGACATGCCAAATGATAAATTTGATCAACTTCAATTAAGAATGGATCAACGACATCATGACGAATTAATTCAAAGTTTGGATGACTTATCCAATGACTAACATTATTTTTACGACCTGTAAAGAAATTATCAAGTACAATAACTTCATGTCCCATTAACATTAATCTATCAACTAAATGTGAACCCACAAATCCTGCTCCCCCTGTTACTAATATTCTTTTCTTTTCTTTTTGTGATAATGATTTAACTGGAAGGAATGATTTTTGTTGAAGATAAAATATGGTCATATTATTTGAATCAAGAAGTCTATCATGTAATTTCATGGGTAAATAAACAGATCGTAAAAGTTCAAGAGGAACAATTGATTTTACACATGAATGACCAACAGCTATTATCGTTTTTTCATCTTCTGAAAAGATTTGATCGTCAGTTGGATCCCAAGATAATTGTCCATTCCTTTGAAAATTATGTTCTTTTGCATTTTCTGTTTTAGATTCTTTAATATTATTGTTGTTATTGATGTTATTATTATTATTATTATTGCTGTCTAAGATTTTTGGGATATTCGGAATATTCTCAAAGTTATTGGAATTAATGATATTACTATTTTCTGAACTATTATTAATGTTGGTATCGTTGGTATTTATGGAAGATAATGTAGAATTTTCTTTAGAAGAAATTTTTGCATCGGAATCCATGATGCGATAAACAAACAACAAAAATTTTGATAAATTTTGATAAATTTTGTATTCGTTGAAGTTAAAAATATTAGAAATTCAAAAATTGTATTTATGTAATTTTAATGTAATGAATGAATGTCACGCGGCCATATTTTGTGATTTGTAAAACGTTACAATAAACCCATAAACGAAGATCTCTCCTGGAACTTGTGCTACACAACCTAAAACCTAAACGAATGCCTTCGAACCTCCCGTTGCTATCTTGCTCTGATTTATAAACGTGCTAGGACCTGATCTACGCCAAATATCTCGTACAGAATTAATTCGTGCTGGAACGCGGCTATTTGATGAACTTCTAACAAAGGTGTGCCCGATACCATTCATTAATCCCGTACCTAATGACGCTGTCACGTATAGAAGTGTTATTATACATTTGATGGACTTGACCACAGCGGAAAACAATCTATGGGCCGGAAAGTATGAAGATCTCAATAGTTTGTATGCGATTTTATCCAATGCCATAACCTTCTATTGTGAAGGAAGAATCTTTGACGAAGCAAAACGAATGTGTATTCATTTTAGATAATATCTATATCGTATGAATCAGAATCTGACCTGGCCTAGACTCTTATCCTAGACTCTTATCCTAGACTCTTATCCTAGACTCTTATCCTAGACCTACCGTTAAATGCATGGGTTAGGATTAGGTTACACCCTTCGAATATCAATTTTTATTAAATATCCTAGGGACTTGGAATTTTTTTACATGCGAAAATCATATTTGTCATCCTATATTTGTCACCTAAACATGTCACATGACCAATAAAATTTGAATATCTCAAGGGTTTAGGATAAAATCCTGAACTGGGGTCTAAGATAAGAGTCCTCTTTTTTATTTATTGAACGTCACATGAGATCAGAATTTTTATTATGATAACATATAGGTTTTACCTAGATAAAGAATCGAATTAAACAATTGATTAATCAATATCTTATTCTTTTTTATAGAAATGTTGTCTTTGAGGAGAGTAATAAAACTTCTTTCATTGAATCGATGCCATTACCTTCCGAAGAGAACTGTAAAAATAATTCTTTCGAACAAATTCAGTACTCTAATTTCTCTAGATCCAGGTAAATTATTTATTATTTATTATGTTAACTATTTATTTAATATTTTTTATTAGCCCCCTTTTTATATTTTTTTATATTGAAGACCGTGAACAATAGAACTACTGAAATCCTTCCATCAAATGAACTTGACCAACTTTCATATCTAAATCAAAACCTAATCGATTATTTTAATGACGAAATATTCCAACACCACCAAATCTTAATGAATCAGTAACCAAAAAGGAGTTTGTCCGAATATATGTGACCAAAGGCATGAAAAAACTTTCTGAATGTATTGAAAATCCGTTGGCGGTATTAATAATGGTATTAATCGTAATGGGAAAAATGAAATTCATGCTGCCTACAATTTAACGCATCAATAACAAAACCTTTTGGGAGGATTCGAATTCTCAGATTTAAGTAATGTAAAGGGTTGGGTAAAATGTGCAGTTTTAGAAAGAAGAGATGATATTACCAATGACGACACCAATGAACTATTACCATATAGTATAAGCAAATTCGATGCCAATACTTTATCATCAGAGTTACACAATGTATTCATCGAGGCTTTGAATACTCCCTATCATCAACATTAGAATCAACAAAGAATCACCAATCAGCATCACACCATTCCCCGAAATAGAAATAATTACGATACCAATTGTTACCGTTGACCAGAGGGTAGAAGAATCGCCCAATCACGAAAGTAGCTTCATAAATACTGAAGAAATACAACCAAGACGATATGTCCATTTTAATAAATGAAGCTAATAAAGTATATATAAGCGGATCTACAAACGAAAAAGAGAATGCAGACACATGAAAACATGATTTGATGATGATAAAAATTAAAAATTTGTTAAATATGTTAAGTCGAATAAAAATTATAATTATAATAATTATAAATAAAAATTTGTTTATTTTTTTTTTTTTTTTTTTAACTAGAAGTGCTTAAAATGACAAAAAATGTTTTCTTATACAGATAGCGATAATAGAGTAGAATTACAAACTTTTTCAAAAGATGTAGTATAGAATGGACTCGCACCTAAACACAATCATGTGATAATGAATGAATAAAAAATTTTCATCCTTATTATAATCAATGTTTTTTCGAATATAGTATGGATACTCTTCCCCCGAGAATTGGTGTGTATCTGCATTTATGGTAAAAATTGCTCTGCTCGAAATTTTGTAACAAAATGGACGTCATTTGATACATTTGGTAGACAATTATTTCTATAGTAACTTGCCTTCAATTCCGAAACTGTATAAATACATCAGTTTCACCATGGGCATTAAATAATCTCAAATATAAACATTCTTGACAAAATGGTAGAAAGATGGAAAATCTTTAAGGAGAATAAAGTGATAAATGATACAAACGTGATAAAAAACGAAATTGCCAAATTTAATAACATTACAAACGTTAAAAAAATTTATAACCGTTAAAGATAATTATAGTTGATAATATTTCTATGTATTCTTGAATAGCAATTTTTCGTGCCTAAGCAAAAAAAGTAACAACTCTTCCCAGTGTTCATTCAAGTTATTTCCGACTCCAATTACTTTTTGTCTTCCATTGTTGCTATTATTTTTAAAATCAGATTTATTATTACATGTAATCTAAATAATTGATATAAAAACAATATAAAATAAAAATAAAATATAATTTAAAAAAACAACTTGACAGTTATCCGATTTCGTTCTAAAATGTCGCTTTTTCTCAGGGCTCTCATTGTCATCGTTTTGGTTCTACTTATTCGATCATTAGATAGTTCCTCGTTGTTGCAAAGGTTTTAAGGAGACCAAGTAAAAAAGATAAAGATTCAAATAGTTTTAAGACATAATAACATAATAAGTTAGTTAAATTTATTTATTCTATAAAATTTATGGTTAAATGTATTTCTTTTCCGTTGGTACTTTCTGGGAGAGTACAAGAAAGCAAGAGTACTGATAGAACTCAAAAAATCGAAACAAAAAGTTACATATTGCCTCAGTCTCTTATGAATCCCAAAAAATATTCGATACAGAATACAGTCGGGTCTCTCTATAATTACAAATTCGGGACTAATAAATTTGGTGATTATAGAAAGATTGTGATTATATAGCAATTTTTTTACATAGCTTTACGGTTCTCACAAAAGTGTGTTTATATACAGATTGTGATTATAAAAAGTGTGATTATAGAGAGACCCGACTGTATTCGAAGATAAAGCATAAAGATAAGGTGGAGTTTGTATTCAAAAAAAAATATCGGAAATCTGAGAAAAAGTAATATTTAGAAATAACAATTAAAAGGCGTACTCTCTCCCTTGAAAGCATGTCATATATTTCATTTTACTTCATTATTATAAACGATTTTTAGTTCAATATTTCGAAAATGCATTGAATTTTTTAACTCCGTGTTCGGAAATTGTATCTATTAACTAAGTATTAGTTGAGATTGAGCGGGATTCTCACAACCGTAAAAAGGGAGTAGTTAGCGTTAAAGCGTATCCATCTTGTCGACCTTAGACGGGCTTCGCTTGTCCGGATGAAATAAACTTGGTTTTTTCCTTAACTAGGAAAAGTGCTATAGTCAGGGTATAGGTTAAGGACATGTGATGAGCCTAACGGAAATGTAACTTATAAAAAGGATTGTACGAAATTATTATTTTAAAAATAACTTCAATCATTATGTCTTGCGTTTTTAAGGTAAAAAAAAAAAAAAAAAAAATTTTTTTTCTTTTAAGAATTAATTAATTATTTTGATTTATAATTTAATTTAATAATTATTTATATTTTAAAGTCTTCAAATTCATTCCGAGCATACAGAAATTTATTACAATTTCAACCCATTCTTGGCTACCGACCAAATGGTCGTCAATTTTCTCAAGTCAATATTTAAATTATATTTAATATTTATTAATTAGTTTATATTTACTGTTAAAATAAATTAAATTTATTATTAAATTAATAATATTTGCAGACAATTTTTTTACCGAGTAGATTTTCAAATTTAATTAACAAAATTCAAGAGTCATATCCAATTGATGATATAACACCCAAAGAACTTCATTCATTGCTTAATCCTGAATCCCCATCAAAAAAGAGTCCAATAATTATTGATGTACGAGAGAAAGATGAACAAGAAAGAGGTATTATACCAACTGCCATACCTTTACCTCGGGGAATTTTGGAAAGAGATGTTGAAAGAAAAGTTGTTAGCGTGGATGAAATTAATTCGGCAGAGAATGGAAGAAATTTAGTTGTTTATTGTGCTGGAGGTATGAGAAGGTAAAATATTATTATTATTTTTTATTGCCTGATAAGAATATTATATATTATATTTATTATTATATTATATTTATTATTATATTATTATTGATTTAGTGTTATGGCAGCAGAAAGTTTGATAAGATTAGGATACAAGAAAGAAAATGTTAAAAACTTAAAAGGCGGATATGATAATTGGAAAGAAGATGGATTTGAAGTGGAAGATTATGAGACTAGAAAACGTGGTTGAAAAATTGTATATTTTATTTTAATTTATTTTAACTTTAATTTTTAATTTAATTTAATTTACCTTGGCTTATATTTATTATATTTTATATTATAATATTTTCTTATAACTTATATCATTATTATAATTCATTTATAGTAAATATAACAAAGGAGAAAATTCAAGAATACAATGTTTATTCTTTTATACTTTTAATAATAAATTCAATTCAATTTTTGATATAATAATAATAATAATGAAATGATGGTGCGGTATATGTAAAACATTTAAGAGATTCCAAGAAGTTCATCTTCAATCGAATTACAATTGATTTCGCAACACATTGAGTCAAATTCTGTGATGCTGGATGTTGATATTTATGTTAAACAAGAAAAATTTTATTGGCAAAGAAAGAATCGTGTCATTAGTCTTTCCTTTATCTTTTAAGATCAATATCCCACGTGAAATTTTCTGATCACCTGTCAATAAAATTAAATATAAATACTTGAAATTTAATTTTTCAGCCTATTTGTTGTAAGGAATTAATTTTCATTTTGAACTTTTTTTCGTACGGATAATTCCTCCAGAGAATATTCGTTCCAAAAGGGTAACAAATCCCCTGCTAAAGAGATCGGCGATCTGCATCTAAATAATTATCAAACCGACCGTGATCCAAATAAACAAAACATTCTTTTTTCCCACCTTTTTTCTTCTCTTCTCTTTTTCTATATCCCCTATTGTTCCTTCTTCTTCTTTTTTGTAACGACATCCTTTTAACCATAGAAAGAGAGGGAGAAGAGGAAGAAAGAGAAGCCACCGAAATTGCCAATGTGAAATCGTCCCCCCTGAAAGGAATAACAAAGGAAAAGGAAAAACGAAAAAGGAAAGAAAGAGAAGAGAGCAAAGAAATAAAAGGTAAAGAACAAGGGAAAAGGTAATGAAAAGGGAAGGAAAGGAACCTGTTGAAATCGTTAGAATCATTATCACAAAATCGTGAACATTTAAATGAATAAAGAAGGAGAATTGAGGGACACAAGGAATTCCATATGAGTATTATAATGGCAAATTAAACTCCTTTGGGTAAGAGACCCTTGTAGCATCAATATTCATCGAGTTATTACAGTAGAAGAAATAACCTTAGCACCAGCAACTATTCCCTTGAGGTAGTAACTGTAACCAAAGTTTGGAAAGGTTAGATAACTGAAAGATCTTAATGGGATTTTTTCCCAGTAGGCTCGATTCCTACAGAGATCTAGACTGGGGACCATTGTAAATTTTAATTTCTTTGAGAATTTGTTTTATGAAACTGGAAGCTCTTTGGGCCACTTTTTGTGAATATCCTTTCATACTAACATATTACTCATTGCAAATTTCTATTTCTTTGGAGGATATTGTTTATATGAATCCAAGTCACTTTTTGTGAATGTTCTTTCATATTAGCAACTATCTATACTTCACTAGTTGGCAAGTTCATTTTATAATAATTTAATTTATTATAATAATTTAATTTATTATAATAAAAAAAATTGTGATAAAATGATAATTATATATTATTGGATAATCTTGAGAATTTAAATACAAATTTTTCAAAAAGAGGTAAGTGTTTTATTTACTGGGTTCATGTAGGTTATTCCTTTATCTGTTTATATCCTTGGTCACCCACATTTTCAGCTGGGAAAATTGAAAGCACATCGTGGCCACTATTAAATTAGTGAATGTTCTTTTCTCAGTATTTTACAGAGTTTTAATAAGTACAACTGGAAAAATTGAAAGCACATTGTGGTCACTATTATAGTGAACATTTTTTTTTCAGTTTTATTATAATTCTTAAGTAAATAAATGTGTGCATAAGATATATATTAATTATTGCTTTTTTAATTAGGTAAATACAATAATTGTACTCACCTCCTATTTACTTTTTTTTAGTAAAAAAAAAATGAAAAATGCAAGTTTTTCAAAAAGTGATAAGTGTTTCATTCATTGGATCATGTAAGTTGTTCTTTTATCTTGTTATATATTCCTGATTATATTATATTCTACTGGGAAATTTGAAAACATATCATGATCACTATTAAATTAGTGAATGTTTTTTTCTCAGTATCTTATAGAATAAGTACAGCTGAGAAAATTGAAAACACATTGTGACCATTATTATAGTGAATATTCTTCTTTCAGTTTCATTACAATTCTTAAGAATGTGTGTCCAAGATATATATTAATTATTGAAAGTATATGTTTTTCTTTAATTAGATAAATACAATAATTGTATTTACTTTTTTTTAGCAAAAAAAAATGAAAAATGCAAAAGAGATAAGTATTTTATTTACTAGCACTAGTCAAATACAAAAGAATTGCTGTACCAAATGGTAATTCCTATACTATAGATCAGCTAAAAATTGGTAACAATCAACTGTCCTATTGCATCCTATATTATAAATCAGCTAAAATCAATTCCTTTTCAGTACAGCATATCTTTTGTATTTGACCTGTGTAGATCATGTAGGTTGTTTCTTTATCATATTATATATTTCTGATTTGCACATAAATAGTTGGAAAAATTAAAAACACATCATGGTCACTATTAAATTAGTGAATGTTCTTTCTTAGTATCTTACAGAACTTTGACAAATGCAACTGAAAGAATTGAAAGCACATTGTGATCACTATTATAGTAAACATTCTTTTCTCAGTTTTATTGTAGTTTTAAGTAAATGAATATGTCATAAGATATATTAATTATTGAGGATATATAATTCCTTTAAATAGGTAAATACAATAATTGTACTTAATTTTTATTTACTTTTTTTTAGTGAAAAAAAATAAAAAATGCAAGCCTTTCAAAAAAAATAATGAGTGTTTTATTTACTGAGTTCATGTAGGTTGTTCCTTTATCATGTTGAATATTTCCAATTACTCACATATTTAGCTGGGAAAATTGAAAGCACATCATGACCACTATTAAATTAGTGAATGTTCTTTTCTCAGTATCTTGATAAGTGCAACTAGGAGAATTGAACATATATTGACCACTATTATAGTGAACATTCTTTCAGTTTTATTGTAGTTTGAACCACCAAAGGCTCTGTGTACATCAATATCCTTTCTGGAAGAAGCCCCTGTTGTAATGTTTCATAATAAGTCTCCTTGATAATGAATATGTTTTCGTGAGATAATAACAATACAGTAGAAAGGAAGAAAACGAAGAAAACAAAATGAATGAAACGAATAATAATTAATAATACTTTAGAACGTTTGTATAAAAAGATATATTTATTTCTGACATTTAACATTTGATTGAAATAATGGAATAATTAATCATTGTGAAAATACAACGAAGATCAACCTGCATTTAAGCATTAAGTTAGATATCTATCGTTGTACCAAACTATTAAGATTGTTTTGATTGTTTTGAGATACACGATTCTATGACCTCATTTGTGACCGCCCTTTTTTATGCCTTTCATGAATTCAGTTATTCCATTTCGAATTTTATTTTATTTTTCACAAATTACAAATTACTTAATTCACTTTTATAATGTCAGCGGATTTTGTAAAGTTATCAATCTTCGGAACCGTGTTTGAAGTCACGACAAGGCATTTTGGTTATTCTCATTTTGGCATCTGTGATATTTTTAATGAAATTATATTCTAGTTATTCTGATTATTGAATTATATTTAATTACACTTTCTGTCAATTATTGTAATTTAATGTAGATATGTTGACCTTCAACCTGTTGGAATGGGAGCGTTTGGTCTAGTTTGGTATGACTTATTATTATAATAATCATTCTTTTTTTTATATACTTGAAACCTAATTCATTATTTTTATCAATAGTTCAGCCAAAGATCAATTGACTGGTACTAATGTGGCCATTAAAAAGATCATGAGACCATTTAGTACTCCTGTTCTTTCAAAGAGGACATACCGAGAATTAAAATTGTTAAAACATTTGAAACATGAAAATGTTGCGCTTCAATTTAATGATATTAAATGTTTAATAAATAAAAAATTTTCTTATTTAACCTTTTTTTCGCATTTTTTTTTTCATTATTTTCATTAGATCATTAGTTTGAGTGATATTTTTATTTCACCATTAGAGGATATGTAAGTTAATTTATTATATATTTATCAATTGTTTCAAAAAAAAAATTTTTTTAGTTTAATTGAAAATTTTTATAGATATTTCGTCACCGAGTTGTTAGGAACTGATTTACATCGATTACTAACATCTCGTCCGTTAGAAAAACAGTTTATTCAATATTTTTTGTATCAAATATTGGTAAGAAGATTCTTCAATATTTACGAATCAAAAAGGAATTAAAATCATTTTAACACTTATTAAATATAAAATCAATTTTTTATAGAGAGGCTTGAAATATGTCCATTCTGCTGGTGTTGTGCATCGAGATTTGGTATATATATATATATATTCATTCTTTGAAATTATTTAAATTATTATTATTATTTTTTCTCATTAACTAAATAGAATTCATAAAATTCACAAAATCCATTAATATAGAAACCAAGCAACATTTTAGTTAATGAAAATTGTGATTTAAAGGTATTAGATTATTATACAAAAGTCGAAAAGAAAATTGAAATAAAAGGAAATGAAAAGAAATAGAAAGAAATGTTTATTAATTAACTGACATTCTATTATTAAAGATTTGTGATTTTGGTTTAGCTCGAATTCAAGATCCTCAAATGACTGGATATGTTTCAACCAGATATTATAGAGCTCCAGAAATCATGCTCACATGGCAAAAATATGATGTAGCAGGTAAATAATTTTATTCTAAATATATTTATATATCCACAAAAAGTGATCATAAAAAAAAAAAAAGAGAATTTTAAACTTTATACAACAATCAATATATTTAATATATATTTTAAACAAAGTGGATATTTGGAGTGTGGGTTGTATTTTTGCCGAAATGTTGGAAGGAAAACCTTTATTCCCTGGCCAAGATCGTAAATATTATTTTATTTGTTATCATTTGTTATTATTTATTTCATAAATTTATTAATTTTAATTCTTATTTTTTTTTTTTTTTGATTGCAGACGTCAACCAATTTTCTATTATCACTGAATTACTTGGCACTCCTCCCGAAGATGTAATTAGAACGATTTGTAGTGAGAATGTAATATTTCGGTTATTTTTAATAATTAAAAAAAAAATTTTTTTTTTTTTTTTATCAAGAACCTTTGTTTAATCTTGTTCTAAATCTTTAATTCTTTTAAGACACTTCGATTTGTACAATCGTTGCCTCCACGCGAAAAAGTTCCGTTTTCTCAGAAGTTTCCCAATGCTGAACCTGAAGGTAAATGTTAATCTATTATTTGAAATTGAATTAATTGAATTACAAAATCTCAAATTTTTTTTTTTAAAAAAAAAAAAATTTATTAGCATTGGATTTACTTGAAAAAATGCTCGTTTTTGATCCAAAAAAACGCATTACTGCTGAAGAAGCTTTAGCACATAAATATTTGGAACCATACCATGATGAAACCGATGAACCAGTCGCAGATGAGCCCTTTGATTGGTCTTTTAACGACGCCGATCTTCCTGTTGACGAGTGGAAAGTAATGATGTATCAGGAAATCTTGGGTATTTTATTTAATTTCACATTTTACACATTGACGATTTTAAATGAATAAAATTTCAGGATAACATCTAATAGCAATAGATAATTAATATTAACATTATATAATTGACAGATTTCCATAATGTTGATGGAAGTTATGTCGATAATAATGACGTTAACACAGTTAACCCGAATTACGTTTAATACCAATTTCAAAGAAATTAAAGAAATTAAAGAAATTTATTTCTTTAGATTATTCCTAATTATTTTTGGATAATTTAAAACTTGTAAGTTTGTATAAAATAAAATAAATACATTAAATATTTAAAATTGATAATTTATATTTATTATATAAAAATTAAGAACTTTATTATTATTTTTACGATGGATGTATTTAAATAATTTAAATATAAGAACACATATTCATATATATTATATAAGTATATATATTTATATATTATTTCTATCTTTCTACATAACATACATCCGATATATCTTCACATTTTAACATTTTAATCATAATAATAATATTATTATTATATATTTATAAAATATTTTAAAAGAAAAAAAAAATTTTTACCTTATAAAGAATTATTAGAATTATTTATTTCTCATACAAGCTTTTTGGCTTCAAAAAATCCTTTCAAATGTCGCATTTGCCATAAACAAGTGATTAATAAAACTATTACTTGAGCGATACTCCAGTAGACAACGCGTGAATTTGTAATTTCGGATTGATCACGAAATTCTGCTTCACGTTCCTGTATAAATTTCATTAAATTTAAAATGAATTTAAATTAAAATAATTTATTTGATTATAAATATTGAATATTAAAATATTCCACTTACACGTTGATAACTTTGTTCTCTACTAATATCTGCAACCCGATTATTTAAATCATTCACCCTCTGTGCAAGATCTAATAATAAAAATATATATATATATAGTTAGAAAGTAATTATCAAAGTAATTATGGAAGAATGATTCATAAAAAGAATTTTTTTTAAAAAAAAAAAATTATTACCGCTAAAATGTTCTTTATCATTTTCTTCTTCACTGGTTGTTTCACCAATGATCATATCTAAATGTAATTTCTTTAAAACAGTAATTATTAAAAAAAGAAGGAATAAAATTTAATGAATATATATATATATGTTATAATTGTTATTAAAAATGAATTCAAAATGAATAATTCACGAAATACCAACAGTCTGACTATTTGCAAACCATCCAGAAGAATTCGTTGACAAACATATTGAATGATCTCCTGATTCGGCGGCTGTAAAAGTAAAACGACCACGGCTAGGACCTTTTTGATTTATTATAACATGACCCATAGGTAATTCCTTGATTCATTTGTAAATAAAATAATAAACAATACGTTTGGTAAAGAGTAAATGTGATTAATTGATTTTTTACTACTTCGTCATTCATAATATATTTATATACTGTGAATTTTTGACCAATTTTACCTCGACAGTTATTTGAATTCCAAGTGCAGGATTTTCAATATATTGTTGTTGTGTTTCAGACCACTCTTCAGCTTTATAAGTGCCTGCGTTTTGGGTTATACAATTTTTAACATTAATTTATATGTTTTATATATTGTATGTACATGAATTTATTATTGATTTGTTTTTTTTTAAAGAAAAGTTGCATTAGTATTAGTTAAAGAATTTTAATTATAACAAACTAACCAACAACAAGAGTTTCTCTTGGTAATTCTTCAATAAAGCATTTCCGTTCGGCACCTTCTAAATAAAAATATAATCCTACGCCTGGTCGTATCATTGTCGAGACAATTAAAATAAGGACATATAAGGAAAGTGACAATCTCGGTGTTAGGCTTCGCTTTTTCATTTTTTTAATTGATTTTTTTTTGTAGATTACACACTTTTTGTGAGTAAAATCACTAAATTCGTTAATAATTTATTTTTGAACAAAACTTTTAAACAGGTGTTTAATTACTACTGATCGTTGAAATTTTTTCACGTGTTCTTAAATTACTACTGATCGTTGAAATTTTTCACGTGTTCTTAATAATCACATGATTAGAATATATACTTTTTTTATTGAATAAAATAATTTTTTTTTTTTTTTTAACAAACGATAATGTCAAAAAGAATGAAAATCTTATATCTTTTATATCTTTAAATAAAATTATAGAATTTATTCAAAACACAAACGATCACATCATTTATCCTCTATTACTTATTTTTTCCTCCCTTCTCAATCTACCATCGCTCATTAGTTCGCCTGCGAGATAAAAATTCGTCTCTTTCCACATAACTTCTTTCTACTTCAGGTCTAGGGGGAAAAGAACGATCATAATATGTACCAGGTCGGTAATCCCTCTCATCATACATTTCATCTCCATACCATCCGTTACCTCCACTTACTCTGCGTGAATAATTATCTATATTAATTCGTGAGTGAGGAGCAGCTGGGGACCTAGAGCGCATTCTATATAAATTTGGGTCTCTATCTGCATTTCTAAATTGGTATCCTCCTCGTTCAGGTTGCTTTTCCATATATCTAGTATAGTAATCTTCATATTCTTGATTCCGTGAATAATATTTTTCACGGTAATCAGTACCTGGATTTCGCGAACAATATCGTTCATCAAATTCATTTATAGGTCGAGAAGTTGAACCAAATTCCGGAAAACTTCGTCTAGGACTCGGTGATCGACTACTTCTGCTTCGATTATATTTTTCCATTCTTTGAAATTCTGGTGGTGAATGGTAATAATCAAAATTTATCTCACCTTTTGACAATCTAGGTGATCTATTTCTTCTTCCTCTAACTGGACGATCGCCATTGGCATCTTCAATTGGAGTCATGTTTGATGACATATTTTCAAATGAAAGGTTCTTCGATTTTTGCATTGCTTTAGAATCTTCTATCTTAATTTCAACGAAATTATTAAAATGTCCGCTTCTCTTAGGTAGCTCTCTTGGGGCATTTACACCAATTTTTAAATTGTTTTCTTTGGTTATCTTATAATATGGAAATTGTGGGATCCAGGAAGATTTGGAAGGCCTTATCCTTGGATGAAGGCCTAATTCGATCTTGTTTTTTAACAATTTTAACTTATTAATGATCTCAATGGACGAATTCCCGTGTTTTCTTCCATCTTTAAGACTTATTGGGTCATTCTTTTCACAATCTCCATTAACCGGTTGCCCATTGACATTATTATTTTGTGGTCCATTTACATTATTGTTTTGTGGTCCATTTACATTATTGTTTTGAGGCCCACTTACATTATTGAATTGAGGCCCACTTACATTATTGAATTGAGGCCCACTTACATTATTGAATTGCGGTCCACTTACGTAATTGTTTTGCGAGTTCTTATTAGATTGATTTATAAGGTTTTCCCGAACCTGGGAACGATATGTTTCTTGAGTAATTGAATCTATTTCATTCGATAAATGGGGATTATTAATAAATATTGAAGTTTGTAATTGATGAAGTTGATTGACATTCGAGTAAGGCAATTTATTATCATTTCCTGTATCTAATGATTGTTGGATCTGGGGTTGTTGAGTAGTAGTAGAATCACTCCAATTCGGAATTAGTTGCTGTGTAGGTGGTTGTTGTTGTTGCTGCGGTTTTAATGGTATGGAAATTGGTTGTGCTGGTTGCGTAACCGTAGAATTATTAGTGTTTAATTGTAATTGCGGAAACAAAGTTATCGTTTGAGAATTAAAATTTAAATTTTGAATGTTTTTTTGTAAATTTTGTAAATTTTGTGAAGGAGTTTGCAAAAACAATGTTTGTGGAGATGGCGTTGGCTGTTGTTGTGTCACAACAGGCCATCCAGAACTTGGAGGCCCGAGATTTTGGGTTCTTGCCATTAAAGAATTCGTTCTATCTAAATTAGGAGTTCTAGACGACGGTCCGTTATTAGTTGGACCGTTGGCTTGACCATTACCACCTAAATAGAACGCAATAAAGTTTCGCTTAAATATAAATTATTTTTTAAATTTTAAAAAAAAAAGAAAACTACTACTCAGGATGTTCGAGTCAAAGAAATACTTTTAACTGTAAGCTACTCAGAGGTTCGCTACTCTTCCCTTGAAGTTTTTACATACCTGATAATCCTAGAACATTTCTCTTTCCATTTTGTCTTTGTTGAGAATCTAGGTTATTTTTAGAAAATGCAGGACGTCTCCTTGCTGGAGGCCTTTCACACCAATTACAACCAACACGGCATCTCTCTGTACAATCAAACTTTTTATGTCCAACAGAATTGCAGTGATGACAACGTTGTAGATCCATAACTGTTTAACTAAAAATAAGACTTAATTCAATTCTACTGTTTTTAAAAAAAAAAAGGTTTCTAATAATAATAAGTGTTAATATATAAATTAACGCCTTGGATATTGGGTATTTATATAGATGAAAGATCTACATGTTAATTATGCGATACCTTGAATAAATCACATGTTCATTAAGCATTTATTAATGAGTCCCTTAAGACTGGCTCAATTATCAGCCACGATTTTCTCTTGATGCTTCATGTTAAATTTGCTTAATCACTTAAAAATAATTTTAATGACTGAAAAGTATATAATGAAAGAAATTTTAAAATTAACTATTATACTAACTTTTGATATAATTGATAAGAATCTTTTGTAGCGTATATCAAAATGTAGTGAATATCCAGATACATGTAAAGTTTTTATCAAAGCAAATTCTTCAAAGGTTCTTTCAGAAAAATTAATAATTATTTACAATAAGTTTTAATTACATTCATTTTGGTATTTTTTAAAAAATAACTATTGAAAATATTTTATAATATTTAATATAGCATAGATCATTCACCTTTAGCCTTCGCGAGTTTTATCTGTTGACCATATTTTTTTTATATAAAGAAAATTGATCAATTTACCTAAATGTATCAAGAAATCTATGCATGCATAAAAATATGTGAGTATGAAGGAGAGAGAAAGAATTATATTTGGGATCCTTCACAGAATTTTAAAATAACCTCTAAGATAAATAGAAACTATGACTTTTTTATTCATTTGAAATTCAAGTTTTTAATTAAAAAATATATTAATTTTCTATGATTTTAGGAACGTATTTTATTTATCCAATTTCTTTCTTTATATGAAGTAGAATATTTTGCAACTAGGCATTATTTATTTTTCAATTGCATGATTCATTCTATTTTAAATTATTTTATTCTTTCTCTTATCAATTAAACCTTTTTATATATCTAATTCATCTATTTAAAATCTATATTCCATTTCAAACTTTTAATAAAATAAAAAAAAAAAATAAAACTTTTGAAATTCAATATAAATTTAGTCCACTGATACCTGAAATCAAATCAGTAGAGAAAAATTTGTACAAATGAATATTTATATCAAAATAAAAGCGCAGACGATCGATTTTCCGATTTTTAGTTTTGATATACTTAGGAATTCCGATTTTTGGCGATTTTAGCCAGAAATTTTTTTTTTTTTTTGACCAGTGAAAAATTTAAATGCCAAAATGAACTAGTGATAATTATGAAGTTGACCAAGATGACTTAATCAGGTGAAAAATGCAAATGATAGATTTATAGTAAATATAAAATATTTAACTGAAGGAGGGTTGGAAGTGTTTGGAAAGAGAATGGACACCTGAAAAAATATTTGAATTTTATAAATCAAATCAAGTTGCTTTGAAGAAGCCTTATGGATAACTGAAATATACTTGGAGATTTAAAAAATGAAGTCTCATCATCTGAAGTATAAGGTTTAATACCATATATTGCACTTGAGATATTTAATAAAAAAACTAAAACTTATAATGAAGATTGTCTTTAATATTTTAAATAACCAAAAATTTAATAAAAGCATACCTTAAAATTGATGATAAAGTGAAATAATTTTTAATAACAAAAAAAATGGATTGAAGAGTTGATGTATAATAAAAAATAGAACATTCACTACTTCTTTAATATAAATAATATCAATTTTGATGGTTAAATTGTTATTATATATAATAATTTCATTGATTTCTTTATTGGTATAATATAATAATTATTATATTCAAAAAGCTTCTCAAGATGTGAAATTCAATAATTTATCTAACAATAAACCAGTAGTTTTAGCTGTAAGTGAATAGGCATATTTCATTTTTATGAAAAAATAAACTAATAAGTGTCAATGTTGACTGGTAAGTAAGTTGATTCAGAAGTTATTTTCAGAAAATTTACATACATAAAATATCAGAATTCAATATTGAGAGTGTTATTGTAACAACAAGTGGTAATGGTCCAAAGAAATGATCAAAAATTTACAAAATGAATTTTTTTACTTGGAAGTTTCAACAATGTGTTGTTGTTAAAATACATTACATAAGACTTGGAAATATTTGTACAACTTATCCAGGAATGAAAAATTATATTTAATGTTAGAATATATAAAATTTTAATCATTTCGTGTAATATAATAATGAAACTATAATTCAAATATCAACTCTAATGAATTGTAAACACTTGGTTTGTATATAAAAGCAATAAAAAAACTGGTATTGATTATTGAAAATTCTCTGTTTATAAATCTCTGTTTATAAATCTCTATTAAAACAAATATATTAGAATAATAAATCCTTCCTTAATACTATCAGTGTCAATTTCTTTTAGTTATTATGTGATATGTAATCAATTGCCTATATATTGATTTTTAAATAAAATAATTATATGAATTTAGTTTCTACACAGAATTGTTGATACAATAATAAGAATCAAATGTATTTTTCAAAGATCTTCCTGGTTAACAAATAATATAAATTGTAATATTGTGTCTTAAAATAAATTTACATACATTCAACATTATTCTATTATTATTATTTATAAATATCTCACGTCACAATCTACCAAATACTATAAATAAGCATTTAATTCCTTTACAGTATAGTGATTGGTCTTCTAAATATTCTTTATTAAATAAAGTAGTTATATCACAAATTATAACCCGTAATCAGAAATATAAACACAGGGATAATAAAGTATTTAAAAATTTTTCAATAAATTTTTCCAATGGAAAACTAATGTTATATACTAGAAGAATGGAATATTTTCTCCATATATTGAGAAAAGTTATAATAATCTCTATCCATTAATATATAATATACAGTGAGATCAATTTTTGGGGGTTTTTGAGAGAAGTAAAAAAAAAAGTTATTACAAAAAGAAAATAACGAAAATCTAATCTACAAAAAAAAACGACGGGATGAATAATATTGTGCTGGAAACAATTATATACTAATACTAAAAGTGTAAAAGAGTATATGTATTTAATACCTTTCCAATTTTTTTTTTTAAAGAAACAAAAAAATCAATTATTTAATTCATTAATCCCCATACTTCAAGACCCATACATTCAAATTCTGGAGTAGATGATAAAGTATCATTGTCAAAAGTATCGCATCTTGTAGAATGTCCACTTTGTAGATCAGAATCAATCCATAATCCTATTCTACCTTCACTATTAACAACGAATAAATTATAAAATTTCAATTTAAAAAAATTATTTAAAATTAAAATATAATCTTCTTAAAATTATTTTAAATTAAAAAAAATTTTCATACCCTCCACCAATAGCCAAATAATCATGTTCGCTTAATATAATATATTCATTCCTTCCAGTCCAATGATAAAATTTTACCAAGGGTTGTAATGATGATATAGATGACCTATCTGATTTCGAATCATTTAAAGTTTTCCATAAAAAACTAATTAATGAAATAAAAAGTAATAATAATAAAAATAATAAATAAATAATTTCATATAGCATATATATAGTAATAAATTAGAATAATAAATTAATTATAATAATTAAATTATAATGCAAATACCATTCCCCTGTCCCGTAATAAGACGGACGCCGTTTAAACGGTTCTGTCACGAACGCTCCAAAGACCTATTCAGTTAACAAAGTTAAAAAAGAATAAATAAATAAAGAGAAGAACAGTGTAAAGAATATTAATAATAATCATAGTCATCATTCTTCCCGATCAATTAATAAAAAATATATATTAACCTGATCATCCATGTCTTTTATTGTCAATATTAAAGGTCCTTTATCCTTAACTTTGTAATACATAGTATTCATGCTTGTACCATCTTGATCTAGACTATATAATAAATTCCATTTGGTCGAAAGTCTTATTCTTCGTGGAAGTTTATGTCGAATCTAATATTTACTCAAAAATAAATATATTACTATTATAAGGATAACGAAATGAGTTTTCAGAATTCATGTTAAAAAGTGAGGTGCGCTATTTTTTTTTGTTGTATTTGTATTTACTGTAATTACTGTATTTACTGTATATACTGTATATATATACGTTTAACAGTTAATGATTTTTCTTTAAAAAAAAAAAAAAATTCTTCGCTCAAGGAACCATCAACTTAACTTATCAGTTCCTTGAGCAAAATATATAAAATAAAATTACCTGATCGGCTATTTCTTCATTTAAAACTGGATCAGTATCATCACATCTTCCAATAAGTTCAATTGGTTGTAACGTTTCTTGGTCTAATGATAAATGTGTTTCTTCCCGAGGTGGTGTTATAGGAATATCTGACATGTTAATATTATCCCAACCTCCTTTAATTGTACTAATATAACTTGAAGGGCCTAAAAAAGATGCACCAGATTTAATGGTTTTCGTTAACAAACTAATTGTGCTATCGTCTTTGTTAGGAACCATAGTAGGAACTACTCTTCGTGATAAACTTCCGTGCCTCCAAGGTAATGAATTGAAATTATTTGCAAACAAAGTTGAACTGCCAAAAAAATTTTGAGTGTTCGATGAAAAACTATTACAAAGAACTGGAGATTGATTTAAAGATATTGTATAATTATCGCGACCCACTATATTCCAGAAAAAATCAAGAGGATTTTTATCATTAATTTTACTGTTAATTGATTTTCGTTTTCGTTTAGAGGTAAGATTTGAAGTTGAATTTAATGAGGATTCTATCAATAAAGAACTATTATTAATGGATTTCTGACTTATTGACTTTTTTGATTTTTTTGAAATTTCATTTATCAGTTTGGATGTGGAAGAAATACCAGTTTCAGTTGACATGATAAATTTTTTGATTAAAGCAAATGGATTTACCCGACCCGTAAATATTCACACCCAAGTAATACAGAAGTTGCACAGCCAAAAGTTAAGTATAATCGTATGATATTGATCAACAATGAAATTTCTAAATTTAACATCAATTTGAGATGCAAAAATGGGAAAAAATGGAAAATATTTGAGTTGTTATCATTTTCTCATACGATTTATTTATTAAGTGGGGAAATATTAGTAATATGGGATAATACATATCCAAGTCCTGGAATAATTCTAATTTCTAATCTTTGATATTAACCAAATACTCGGAACAATTTTTTTTAATAATTAGATACTACATATTATATTGTTTTTCCTTTATAGAAATTAGTTATTGTTACTATCAAAAGTTATTAGACAAGTAATTTACCTTTTCATTGAAAAAAATTTCAATTAACATTTACTAATTGAATGGTAAAAGATTCACATTCTTCTCAGTAATAAGTATTTAACTAAAAAAATTTTCAATTAACATATATTTAATTGAATGATAAAAGATTCATATTCTTCTCATTAATAAGTATTTAACAACATCTGTAACAAGTTCTTTTTTCTGTTGGTAAAAATTTAATTAACTATGAATAAAAGTTGACTTGTTTAACAAATAAATCATTTTAAGCTGGTCATATGAAAAGTGAATAATATCATCATTATACTAGAAAATGGAAACCATTGTGAATTTGAAAAAATAAATATTTTTTATTTTTACATTCATCAAGAGCAATAAAAGGTATTTTGTCTAATAAAGGTTTAATTTTCTCATTTAATGCTTTGGCTTTTTCCTCATTCAATTGATTATAATTACAAGTTGTTTTTTTAAATAAATTAGTTAAAAAATAAAAATTTCAAAATCTATCTTACTTTTTATATTCATTCATCTCAAAAGGAGTTATGAAAAATCAAATCCGGTGTCACAACTATATATCTTTTTGAGATTTACTCAGAATCTATTCTATATATGGAAGTAAAAAAATATCTAGTTAAATGTATCTTTAAACAAGGAATTTATTTGAGTAGTCAAAAAATTTCAAGTTTTAAGTAAATAATTTTGTCTTTTGTGAAAAATTATTTTAACTTTTTTTTTTCAAAATTGTAATTTCGGAATCTCAAATAATTTTATGTGCAAGTATAGTTACAACTGTAAAAATTGTCATTTCTTTATATTTTGAAAAGTTTAAAATTTAGCAGGTATAGATAACATGTTTTATTCCTCTCTCTTTGTTCCTACTTCATAATTTTGTTTATTTGTTATTTTAACTAGTCTTTATATTATAATTTGTAAAAAATATTATTACAAATGAGATAATTATAATTTTTATTATGATTAATCTTTTTTGTTTCTTCACTTATATCAGTTTTCACTATAACAGTTCTTATACATAACATCAGAAATTATATAAATGTGTTTAGTATACTATAAGTTAAATAATATACTAAAATGTTGTATTTTACTATGTTATAAATATGAAATATTCAAATAATACACTAGAAAATTGTACTCTAATATGTTATAAGTACTAAATGTTTAAATAATATATAGAATATTATATTCTAGTATACTATAAGTACAAAACATTTAAATAATATACTAGAATGTTGTGTTCTAATATGCTGTTATACTTAAAATTTCCTTATAATAAATTTATAATTCTTTAGCATAGGACTAGTTTGTTTTTATTGAATGATAATCAATAGTAATGTGATTGATCAAATAATATTTAAATAAATAGAAATCTTAAATTCAGATCAGGTAATTAAAGAAAATTATCTTTAGTCGAATTTTAAATTATTTAAATTATTTATATATTGGTAATAAAAATATTAAAAATATTTGAGTTTTTATAAAAGATATTTAAGATATTACATAGAATTTAAATATGTATATACGTGTTATTACAGATTCTATAAATTTAATAAAGGTATATAATATTATTAAAATGAATATTTTTTTATATAAATTCTGAAACATAGGATCTTGAAATCTCGAATATTTAAATAGTTGAAATAATTAAATACTTAAATACTTGTAATTATTATTTGAAATTTATAAAATTTAATAAAAGGTTATATTAAAATAATAGTTTTAATAAAAAAATTTAAAATAATTAAACATTACTTACATTACTCATCTATATAATCTATTACTATAAAAAATGTCTTCTATATAAACTTTCCCAAAAATTGAATCTTATTGAATCTAAATAGAAGAAACGAGAAAATAGTTTCAAAGATCACAATAATAAAATTTCATTATCTATTAAATAGTCATTCTGGTGACTTGTCATATGAATGACCAAAATTTAATTGAACCTTATTATAAAATAAGTATAAATACTTGTATAATATATTGATCAAAATCTAGACTTTCTCTATACTTAATTCTTTTAAGAAGTTTAATATATTATGTCCAAAAACATATATTATTACATGTAATTTTTTCTATTACTATTTTTTTATTTTATCATTTTATAATTTTATCATCTTATTATTATATTTTATTTTAGTATTTATATTATTAATTTTAATATTTATTATATTACATTATTAGTATTATATATTATATATTATATACTATTTGTTTATTATTTATTGTAATATGGATTATATAAATTAATAATATAAATCATAATAACAGATTTAGTAACCAACTAATTGTTCAACTGATTGTTTAAGTTAATAGTTAACTATAACGAACTGATTATATTTGTCATAAGTTGAATTAATAAGTTATTTCTATTAAAAAATAATAAGAAAATAAATAAAATACTAGTTTTAAACAAAAAATAATTTTTTTGATTTTCTTTATTAAGATTTTATATAATTTATAATCAAAATTACAAATAACAAAATAGGAAATAAATAATAATCTGAGATTTAGAGATTAAATTCAAATTAATATAAAATATAAAAATAAGATAAAATAATTTAATAATAATATAATAATATAATAATAATAAATGATAAAATAATAAAATAATAAAATAAAATAATAATTATAATACTGATTAAATAAATAAAAATAAAAATATTATATCAACTAATTGATATACTTAATAACAAAAATACTGACTTAATTACTAATTAAACTTTTAATCAAATTTAATATTATAAAAAGTATAAATTTTCTTTTCACTTCAAAATATATTTAAATAATTCTAAATAGTAAAATTTATATAGTAATCTCAATTGTAATTAATTCTAATATTGAATTAATTCATGATTCACAAAAAATGGAAAGATCTACATTAATAAAATGTGGGAATAAGTATATATACTGATCAAAAATTGATAAAACATACATATATCGAATACCCGATATGTGCATGGTACATCCCTAATATCGAGTGTATATCGGGTACCTGATAGGTGTAAAAAATATTTTATATATATATTGGATACCCGATAAGTGTAAAAAAATATTTTCTACACCTATTGGGTACCCAATATACACCCGATATTAGAAATATACCACGTACATATCGGATATCCGATATATATATGTTTTATCAATTTTCGACCAGTGATAGTAAAAATATATATATGCAATAAACTCAAATCAAAATAGAAAAATTACAAAAGACATTTTATCAATTATGATAAAAAAAATCAAAGGTTCTGATTGTATATATTTTTAAAGTTAAATGGTTATATTAATAAAATAAGATAAAGTTTCCTTTTTTTAATAAATAAAACTTTCTTTTCAATTATATTTAAAATTTTATTTTGTCCTAAAATTTATTATGTAGATCCTTTCCATTTCTTGTAAATTGTGAATTAATATTTTAACAATTCTAATTATCATAGTTTACAAATTAATATAATTATGTAAAAAAAAATCAGTTAATATAATTTATTTGTATTCAAATACAAATAAACAAATATCATATAATTAATAATTATTTTAACTAATAAAAATTAGTAATATAACAAGACGACTAATCTTATGTGATCATTGGATCATTTTTTAATTATCGCTCTTTGCAAAATTATGCGGTCATGTGAAAATTTGATAATATAATTGATAGGTATTCGAATACCAAATAA